TACGTTTCAATTCATATGGTATAGATTATTATAATAATCATTAATGTTTAAATATATTTAGAAAGTTAAGTCATTACATATTTACATAGGCTCGGTTTCAATATATATATATATATATATATATATATATATATATATATATATATATATATATATATATATATATATATATATATATATATATATATATATATATATATTACGTATTATATATATAGCTTCCTATTATAATAAATATTATTCTTGGAAATTTACGTAACTCACATTTACGAAGTATACTATTATATATTAACCGCTAATCACTTAATTTTATAATACACTGGTAATGATTGTGAGTCTTTTAGATGTTTCATATTTTTCTTAAATAGTTATAATTATTAAAAATTACCTTTTAAGCTTAAAATTTCTATGTAGTATTAGGTAGTATATTTTTATGTTAATTTAGAATATTTTTACTTGGACTGTTATTTGTTGGTCTGGTCTGATCTGGTTTTTTTGTATTTTTATAACTATCCAAGTATGGTCTGGTATGGTCTGGAACAAATTACAGTCCAAGTAAAAACATCATTATGTATGATTTTTTCTCATTTAATGATTTTTTCTCATTTAATATATTAAATGAGAATGAAAAATCTCTAAATGTAATGATATCTATAATAATTATATTCAAAATTTACATTACACTGACTATAACACTAGCAGAAAAATCTCTTCAAATTAGTCACGTTTTGATAAAAGAATCAAAATCATATGATTCATTGAGACCTTAATTAAATACTCAAAACACTAATTGCGGTATATAACAAATCTTCATTTAATACTTTCTCAGTGCCTCTTTTTATCCATTAAACTTCATGCATACCTTTCTTGGTAACTGGTAAGTTACATATTTAAATATGTTAAAATAAAAGTTAGACTATTTTACCAAGTAGATATAGTTCATCTGGAACTATTCAGTTCAGTTTATAATCATAACTAATAAATTGAAATAAGAGTTAAACTAAATTAGTTCAATTCAAAATTAAAAGTTAAATTGAAATAATTATACTAAATCTAAATAATGTTTATTTAACTGGAATTTCAACCATTATAATTGTTTTACAAAGGATAATCAATGCTCCTTATTCTTTCAACAATTATTTCATAGAAATCTTTTATATCCTCCCACCTTTTTGAATATTTATTTAGGAAGTTTTTAATTGAATTAGTTTCAGTTTCAGATCAAGTCAGACCATAACATTCTAGATCAAGTCATGCTAGACTTTGACAGTTGTAAAATACACAGATAACAAATATATACCAGAGTAGACCCGCTCAGATCAAATTAGAACACACTAAACTTTAAATAAATCAGATTAGATCAGATCACAAAATTTCACCTCAGTCATCCTTACAAGAGATTTACAAGTGAAAACACAATTTGACTCTAACATAGATTAACATAGTTTTACTTAAACGTACACAATTTCACTGGACTCTTTAAAAAAATCACTCAAACACAAATTATGAAGTTAACACAGTTTTACTAGACTCATCACAATTAATAATCATGCCAGTTGTAACTATTAAGCTTTTCATGTACTACTAATTTATTTATCTTCTTATTCCCTACTAACTTCATACTTACTTTTAATTACGAGCTCACTTAGAATTAATAAATACTATGTAGTATTTAACGTACACCAATTTAATAATTACTTAAACGTTTTTGGAGTCTATATTTTCTAATGAAATGAACATTTTTAACTAATTATCTAAACATTTTCCAGATTATATTTTCTAATGATAAAAGAGCAATTTTTAATAACTTTCGATTGCATCTAAATGTAATTAATCTTTTCAACTATCTTTACCTAAGCAAAAAAAAAAAGCTCCATGCCTAATTTTATCCATTAAATTTCATTCAACTTATAGTTTTATTGAAAACAAACTACGCACTTTTGTAACTTATTCATCTACAAATGGGTATTGTCAAGAAAATGCTCCATGCCTATTTTTATCAATTAAATTTCATCAGTGGCTTATTTGTTTTTCAAAACTAACAACACACTTTTTTAATTTATTTATCTAAAAATAGGGGTAGTCAGCATTTTTTGGAGATATTAGTCCTTATTTTTCTTAGCCGATAATTCAAGTATATTCTGAGAAATATATAGTTTTGATGAATATATAATACGTAGTATAATAGGTCATTGAATATAAATATGGTGTTAATGATGTATTATTTTTTATATTTGATAATCAAATTATCATTAAAAAGTGCTAATTATTTCATAAAATAAAAATGGGAACCTTTACTAGGACAACAGAAAAGGAAATTGAGAACCTTTATATTACCACATTGAATAGCCGATTTAGCCGGTGTAATGACACTCCATTGCCTCAAAATGATGTTGGGGATTTGGTAAAAGTTGGTGTAAAGTGTAATGTACTATATTTTTAGAAATAGTTTTGATGAGTATATAATATAATAGGGCCATTGAATATAATTGTGGTGTTGAAGATGTATTATTTTTAATATTTGATAACTAAATTATCATTAAAAAGTGCTAATTATTTTTCCTTAAATAAAAATGAGAACCTTTACTAGGACAACTGGACAACCAAGAAAGAAAAATGAGAACCTTTAATATAGTACGATTTGGTCATAGAATTGATACTCCATCCGTTTAACTTTGTTTGAGACACTTTCCTTTTTTGGATGTTTCAAAATGAATGTCACACTTCCTTATTTCCGTACTTATTCGGTAAACAAATATTTACCAAAGCAGTGTCAAACAATGTTCAAACAGTGTCAAAATAGTCAAATTTACCCCCTCAGTAAAAAAATTTCCTTAATTCTTGACAAGTCAAACTATATTAAACAAATCGAAATGGAGGGAGTATCAATTTTCATTCCTAAATATGGGGCATCTTTATTTTATATTTTAACAAGTTACTTTTCGTTAGTTCTAATAACTTATACATATGTTGGTGCATGCACACTAGGGGCTGACCTCTTTTGTTCAAGGGTGTTCACGTGAACGCTCAAATTTTTGAAAATAAAATGTAAAAATACACATATAAAATTGAAGTTATAATTTATATATTGATTTTTATTTAATATTTCTTACTCTTACCCTTATTTTTGGGATTTTAATGTTGGAAAAGTTACATTTCTCAATTCGTGGACCAAACAATATTAATGTGTAATGGATAAAATAATTTTGAACACCATATATTTGATTGCAAGATCCGCCACTGACGCACACATACATATATAGTAAAACTATAGTCAAATCGTTTTATTCCGTGCACGACACAGGTAAAGATACTAGAGGTATTTTTGCACCTTTTAAAAGTTTAGATATATATTTGTACATCCACATATATTTCAGGGCTATATCTGCACATTTCCCCTATTTTAAAATATCAAATACGATGTTGCAAATTAATTTGAATGGCCACATTTTCCCTTATATGTTGAAAAACAAAACGTACCATGCCATGTGAGGTCAATTACACGTTTTTTGCGTTAGGTGCGATATTATTGTATCTTCATCTAAAGTGTTTCTAGCTATAACACCGATGAAATTTGCACCATTGTCAAAGACTTTCAAGAGGTTTTGATCAATATAATATTTGTATATCATATGGACTAAGTATATATAAGAGAAAAGGTACAAATATACCCCTGTAGTATGGGTGTGGGTACAGATATACCCCTGTTCTATTTTTCGGAACAAATATACCCTTGAACTTTTAAAAATGTGCAAAAATATCCCTCATGTTCTTATAAGGGGGCAAATTAATCCTTATTAACTTTAAATTAATAAAATAAATTTTAAAAAAAACAAATATAAATTATAAATTCGAAAGTTAAAAAAAATTAAAAATGTAATAGTGTCTAATTCTCCCTTGTATAGTTTTTATATCACAATTTAATATTGTTTAAGCATGAAATATTATTTCAAAATTTTACTATATGTTTAAGATTCTTTCGAAAAGGTGCAACATATGTTTTGCAAAGTAGAGAAAAATTAATTTTTTGCATTCTTTGCACTTAAAATTACATATTTTGAAATAATATTTTATACTTAAAATATTAAATTGTGATATAAAAACAATAAAGGGAGAAATGGACACAATTACATTTTTAAAATTTTTATTTTTTAATTTCGATTTATTAATTTGTTTTTGGTCTTTTTTTTTTTTAAATTTATTTGATTAATTTAAAGTCAATAAGAATTAAATTGCACCTTTATATAAAATGAAGGATATTTTTGCACCTTTTTAAAAGTTCAGGGGTATATTTGTTCCGAAAAATAGAACAGGTGTATATTTGTTCCTCCACCTATACTACAGGGGTATATATGTACCTTTTCCCTATATATAATTATTTAAAATATTAAGACGTGACACTAGGATTTAAGGCCACATAATGCGTAAGAATATTCTCATGCAGACATTATTTGGTGTTTTTAAACATTTCAGTCCCTAAGAAGCTTAAGGACATAGGAAACGTAAAACATTTCATTAACACAATATATTTGACAAAATGAATGCTTATATCACAAAAGTTTACATTAACAAATTTCTTCTTAATTTTGGAAACTTTATTATTGTCCCGTGCATCGCATGGGTAGAATACTAGTTTGAGTACAATTATAGTTATTAATAATTACTACTCCCTCCGTCCCTTTATATTGTCCTGTTTTACTTTTTTGGGAAGTCGCACTTAAATTGTCTCATACTATATTTGGCAAAGTTTGTGTGGCTCTAAATCATTCTTACTTTATTCTTACTTTATCAATTAATATCAACCACACAAACTCACTTTTCTTAATAGTTGTGCCACCCTATTTCGTCCCAATATAAATGGGAGGAGGTAGTATTACATAGTACTCCATAATATTTTTGTTCATGACCCCTTTTTATTAGTAATATTTAACAAAAAACCTCTTATTTTATACGGAGTATATATTTGACTTTACTTGGTTAAAAAATCATCTTGACAATTATTTCCAAAAACAAAAAAGGGATCAGCCCATAAAACTAGAATGCTAAGCCCAATCCGGTTCCAATCCCTCTGTGTAACGGATCTTTTGTTAGTCAGGCAAGTTTCCTCATTCTTTTCTGGTTCGTACACCGGAGTTCTGGAATCCATGGTCTCAATCGGCGTAGAGATGTAAGTTTCACTCTCCCAAATAAATCTATATGTATCTACTGCCATTTGATTATTTACGGACACCCTAGTTCCGTATTACTACTCATTTTCATCTTCAATCCTTGGAATCTTGAGGTTGCATTTTATCTGTTTGCTGAAATGACTTCGAGTTTCAGAGGAAACCAGCACATGAAAGCGATATTAAAGCACGGTAGAACTCAATTTGTAAGCATCTTCCTTAAAACATCTCAAAATACCCAACAACAACAACGAAAACATCTCCTCCCCTGTGTCACGCCCTTTTCAACCCAAGCATCCAAATTCCCTGAATATGAAATGCCTTCTGTCACATGGGGCGCAATCCAAGGTCGCAAAGAGAAACTCGTGTCGCGGGTTATAGTTTGTGATTATCTAAAAAGCATAGGTATAGTTCCAGATGAGTTAGAGGATCTGGAGTTACCCTCCACTGTGGAAGTAATGCGGGAGCGTGTAGAGTTCTTGCAGAAAATAGGCCTAACCATTGACGACATAAACGAGTATCCACTAATGCTGGGGTGTAGTGTGAGGAAAAACGTGATTCCCGTGTTAACCTATCTGGAAAAGATTGGGATTTCAAAGCCAAAGCTTGGGGAGTTTGTGAAAAATTATCCTCAGTGTCTAAATGCCAGCGTCGTGGTTGAGCTTGTTCCAGTCATCAAGTTTCTGAGAGGCCTTGATGTGGAGAAGCAAGATATTGGGTATGTCTTGATGAAATACCCGGAGCTATTAGGGTTCAAGCTTGAGGGGACAATGAGTACCTCTGTGGCATACTTGGTTAGTATAGGGGTTAATCCAAGAGATATAGGACCAATGGTTACACAATATCCTTACCTTTTGGGGATGAGAGTTGGGACAATGATTAAACCTCTTGTCGATTATTTGGTTTCGATCGGCCTCCCAAAGAAAATTTTAGCCAAGATGCTTGAAAAACGGGCATATTTACTTGGATATGATCTTGAAAAAACTGTGAAACCTAATGTGGACTGTTTGACCAGTTTTGGTATTAAGAAGGACTTTCTCCCTTCTGTCATAGCACAATACCCCCAGATACTTGGTTTGCCTTTGAGGGCAAAGCTGTCTTCTCAACAGTACTTCTTCAACCTAAAGCTAAAGATTGATCCTGATGGATTTGCTTGTGTGATTGAGAGGATGCCACAAATTGTCAGTCTTAACCAACATCAGATAATGAAACCTGTTGAGTTCCTTCTGGGGCGAGGGTTTTCATCTAATGATGTTGCAAAGATGGTTGTGAAATGCCCTCAGTTGGTTGCTCTGCAAGTTGGGCTCATGAAAAACAGTTTCTACTTTTTCAAAAGTGAAATGGGCAGGCCTATGAAAGAACTTGTTGAGTTTCCAGACTACTTTACATATAGTCTGGAGTCAAGAATAAAACCAAGACACCAGAGGCTACAAAGCAAGGGAGTCAAATGCTCGCTGGCTTGGTTTCTGAACTGCAGTGACCAAAGATTTGAAGAGAGATTATATGGTGATTTTATAGAAGCTGAAAGTAGTGGTCCATCTTTTGTGATGGGCGGGAAGTTAGAATTGCCAGGAACTGATATTTTATCAGAAGAAGATGATGACAGTGATGATGAATTACTTTATAAGCGGACTGTCTCTCTGTAGTTAAATTGGTATTCATATGAATTATGGAGTACCACCCCCCCCCCCCAAAAAAAAATATACTAATGGCGGGCTAGTAATGAATATTTGTAATGTAATAGCATCAATATGAATTTTATTCTTTCTTTACTCATTTTTTATGATCTTATTACTACGTCGTAGTTGGCATTGTTTAACTGGCCAAGGCTCTTAAGCGGTAAGAAAGATTTTATGCTTCAATTTAGGCAAGAAAAATATCTGGAACCATGGGAGAAAGTTTTGCACTGTGTGAAAAAAAGTTGCTACAATAAAAATCCTTCTTTGTTTTTGAGTTTCAAGTTCCTTTATTTTCTGATTCTCCTCCAGTCCTCCTCAATTGTGTTCATATAATCCAAAGTTAAACGATTGTCAAATCTATTCCACCTTAGCAGGTTATTTCATGGTACCACATCTTCCACACATTATTAAACGACAATCAGCGGCGGACGCAGGAATTTTCGGTAGCCGGGGCGGCAGTACAAAAATATACATACAAATACATATACATTAAAAATTTCGGGGTAAATATACCTAGAATTTTTTTTTTGGAGGGGCAGCAGCCCCCCTTTGTCACCCCCCTAGGTCCGCCGCTGACGACAATCTTATTCCTTTGGCATAACTGCTGAATATCCGTCAATCTTATTCCTTTGGCATAACTGCAGAATATCCGTCAATCAAAACTTTGCTTCCGTCCTTACATTGTGACTTATAATTGTTCTTTCAAGCTACAATAAATAGCAAAACACTTGGACAAATAAACATGTAATAACAAATTTCAAATATTTGTCCCTTCAGTACAAAGATTTGGAATCAGTTTCAAACTATCTTCAAATTTAGGCCGCCCAACCATACTACCATTTGGAACTATGTTTTAGGGTGCTACAATAACTTCAAGGAGCCTATTGCGGATTTGAATTTTACCAACCCTAATACTATCCTGTGCCAGCTTTGTAAGGTCAGTAAGATAGTTATTTTTAGGAAAAATTGATAGTAATAATCCCAACTATGGTCGGTCCGCTTATAATAATCCCAACTATTGATTATTTCAGAATAATCCCAACTTTAGGGACCTTCCGCCAATAATGGTCCCTTTAAATAAATTCTTGTAGTTTCTAAAGTGGATGAGGAGAGATATAACAAGTAATCCCTATAAGTAATCCCAACTTTTAATTTTTAAACTTGATTTCTATTTAAAATTCACGTTTTGAGGGTGTAATATTTGGTCATGGACCATTATTGGCGGACTGTCCATATAGTTGGGATTATACAAAAATAATTAATAGTTGGGATTATTATCAGCGGACCGTCAATAGTTGGGATTATTAATTTCAATTTTTCCTTATTTTTATGATAAAAAGCCTAACCAAACTGAGGCCATTAATGCTATTAAAACTGGATTTTTGTCACTAGTACCAACCCCGATCAACATATGTACTATAACCCCCAAGGAAGGATAAAAACCCTCCTAGTTTCAACTTCTGGCAAAAAAAACCACTCACATACTTCAAAATTAACATGGCCTCATCGGAACCTCAAACCGAACCTCATCCGTACGGCTGCCCTCGTTTGTAATGAATGTGGCAACTACGTAAAGCATGAAACCCATCTGGCATCCCACGGGGACAACATACACTGCCACTTATGAGGCCTCGGTTTATCTCTATGCCTATTGTCAAGACTCTCAGTACCAATAATATTATAATCGAGGTAGATAACATGAAAGTCTTTGAGGGGCTCACAAGTATCTCAATCCAACATTGGAGTTGTTGGCCACACATTCAAAATATTAAGAAGAGACTCGTGACACATGAATGGTCTATCATGCACATACACCCGAGTATAAATAGGGTTTCTGAGTATTTAGCTTACCGAAGTCCTTCGGTAAAAATCAATGATCATCATTTTAAGCACTTTGTTAGTATTCTTAAATTTGACATTATCAGTTTTCCTTATGTTATTTAATTTCGAGTACGCTTTGGTTTGGCCCGGTCTTCCTACTCTATGTATCCTCGTTTTATTCAAATAAATTGGTCGGTTATTCACTGGCCCCACCCCAAAAGACCCGCGGGCTTTTGGGAACTTACCGGCTAAAAAAACAAATTACAAATATTAAAGCCACATGAATCACATCAATCGCATCCAGGCATACTTTTTATATAGATAAAAATGGCATAACGATGAACTGAAATATTATCTGTATAGCTTGAAATATAAGAAAAAAGAACAAAATTTCAATTTAGAAAGATTTATTTTAACGTTATACCTTCTTTTTGAAGATGTCTATTGTTGCTTTGATATTCAACTTGATCACCTGATCCTGGTGGCATCACTTGTATTGAATGCCGAATTTCCCCTTCACTTTTGTATTGTTGATGAGACACTATTGCGAGGAAATAGTATCATGTTCGCCTTTCTCTCACTTTTGAGACTTAACAAACCACTTTCTGAAAATACTTTAAAACAAGCTAACTCCTATTGAGATAACTCTCATAGTCTCATGAGTCATGAGTCATGCCCAATAAAATGTAAAACAATTATGATACTAATATACTCAACAATTTGTATGCAAAAAATGATAGGTATATTCTGTCGAGCCACATGGTTGCTTAAAGCAATAGATTATAGCCTAGCACATAGTTATGCACTTATGCACTAGCTGGTTTTACACCGCGGTTCAAATACAACACATATTTATAGACTTATAACATAGAAAAAGCAATAGATTGACACATGTAATTTATTTTGGTATGGCATAACGGAGGTTAAACCGCTTTCTTTTTGCCAACAAAATAGTAATAATAATAATAATAATAATAATAATAATAATAATAATAATAATAATAATAATAATAATAATAATAATAATAATAATGAAAATAATGATGATGATGATAAAATATAAAATTAATAATACTAATAACAATAATAACAACATTTATTTGTTAGGCAGGGAATGAATTCTTTTGGCAGGGCGTCACTTGTAATTCAGAAGGATGGCATAGCGGAGGTTTAACCGCTTTCTCAGATGGTTTTCAGAAATGTTTAGACAATAGCGTTGAGGCCATGAAACAATTAAATTTGCACGCAGTTGAAATAGAGATTAATCCTGCGAATTTTGACATCTTTGAGTATAACTCTTCTAATTATATGAGACTATTTCAGAGTGATTTGCAAGTTTTCAGGGAAAATATTTTGAGGAAGAAAGCTTCTTAGGGGAATGAAAGCTAATTATGGGTTTGTTGATTCAATCCAGAGGCGCCACATCACAATTAATCCAACTCAAGTTGCTTCTAGCTCAATATCTTGATATGAAAAAATAAAAGTAATGAGTTTTTTGATAGGATTAATGGATCGAGAACTATTGGATCGCTCAGGAAACCGTATTAAGAATCCAATAAAACGTGCAAGGCGGCTGGCCAAGAAAAATTGAAGACTTCCTTTACATTATTTCTTGACTTATATTTAGCTATTCTCTCTCATTAGTGACTATATCTTACAAGTGTTTTCTTTTCCACAAAACATGTTACATATTCATCTAGACGAGATGTCCATGTAACACTTATAAGTAAATGTAGCATAATTTTAACTCAAAACACTATATGTAACAAAAAATAAAATGTTGCAAGCGAAATGTTACGAAATTCCAAATTTGTTGCACTGCCGCCACCGCCTCCCCCTGTCGCCGCCATGGTCCATGCAACCACTCACTGCCCCACCATCACCAACACAATCCCGCCCCTACCACTACCCCACCCCATCAGTTCCTACTGAATCACTTGCAATCAGCTAAACATTACCCCACCACCTCCCAACCATGCTCGAACCAAGCCATAAACCCTACCCATCGGGCTCAAATATGGACATGTAACACCAACCATCATTGACCTTCATATCCGGTCTTCGTCACCGACTTGTGATGCGGCGGCATAGCAATGGCAGCACAGGGAGACAACGATGGAGATCATATTGGAGTAGGTGAAAGGTTGCACATAAAATGTTTGAGGAGTACAACAATGTTGGAGGCTTTCTCACCAGCAGCGCTGGCAAAGGATACGCAGCAGGCCAACAACAATAACGAACGGTGCACAATAGAGGTGACAAATGCGACGAGATGGGCAGTACTGATGACGTCGCTCCTGGTTGTTCGGCCGAGAGTAGGATGGACCCGGGTCGATCCGGTCCCGGTTCCAGGCATAGACCGCCTGGTCCCTCCCATTTTTTCGAAGCCCGTGCCCGACCCATATAAATCTGGTTCTGGGCCCGTTTCAGGTACCCGGGCGGTGCAGTAGCCAGTCCCGGTCCCGCTAGTTGTTGTCTCGCTATTCAACAAACTGTTGATACTACTATCTGATTCAAGTGTTGTAAACACACTTTCCATTGAAAATTCAGATAGTTCATTCCTCTTTTGATGATTAAGTTCTCTATACATCTCAAAGAGTTCCTTTCTGGCATCACCAAGGACATCATGAAACTTGTCATCACATATCAACAATGATTTTAGCCTCAATTTGAAAACTGAATCTTAAGTTGTTCAAGTTTACTTAACTAAATGATCAAAAAAGATTTTGTAGAATGGATTTTTAAGTGAAAGATTTAGATCATTTTTAAATGAACGGTTTAGACGAATTTGTACTCCTATTAAGTATAGAAGATTTCTCTAGAGTGGTAAATTATTGCATTTAGTGTTTCTGCATGCTTAGAGAACATGACTCTGTGCTTAAGAGAAAGTTTAAAGAGCAAGTATGTGTTGCTACCCTTAAGTGCTAAATGTTACATATTCGTTTATGTAAAGTTGTGAATGTTTTGATATTACTATCTATATTTATGGTTTCCATTTACCAAGTAAGTCTAAAGAAAAATGCATATAGTTCCTTTTCAAACAAAAGTGACACCATGGATAATAATCTCTTGAAAGAACAATAGAGAACAATGACAATGTATATCAAGAAGATTAGAAGAACATGAAAATTTTAAAGCAGGAAGTCAAGGACCCCAACTCTTAAGAACATTGATAATTTTTAAGAACATTGAAAATAGTAATACTAATACTAATGATAAGTATATTAAAACATTCAGCAGGGTAGTTGCTAAAACTTGCATACAGTACCACTTCCAAGCTCTACCATAAGTGTACTGAGTTTA